AGCCTGCCACGAGTCCTGCTCCTCGTGCTGGGGAGCTGCCGAGAGCCACTGCCTGTCCTGCCGGGACCCGTCCCACGTGCTCCAGGCTGGGCTCTGCCTGGCCACCTGTGCCCAGGGCTTCTTCCCCAAGGACGGTGTCTGCACTGGTGAGTACCTGTGGGAGGAGTGCTCTGCGCAGGCAGCAATCAATATTGCATTGTGCTGTGCAGCAGCTGGGGCTTTATTCATGTCTGACAAGCCAGCTGCACCCTGAGCATTCATAGGGGGTGAGGGAAGCTGCTGTTTGTTTGTGAGATTATTAATTCATTTACACTAATCAGATGCTGGAAGGTTTGAGCGGTTTTTCCTTGCTGAAAAGTTGGGCTCTTTCTGAGGGCTTGACAAATCCATTTGTCTGTGGAAAGAAAAATGGCCTTTGCCAGCAGCTTTCTGTAAATTTAATTATAATTCAGCATCACAGTAACTAATACCTGCACAGCAGATGTGCCTTGGGAGATGGGAAGGTTTGCTGGGAAAAAGGGAGAAGACATGGCTAGAGGGGATTAAAAGACATAAGTCAAACAGATCGTGAAAGGGAGAAAAAAGATCTCAGATAAGGACCCTGGCATTTGCCACATGGATTCCAGTCCAGTCTGGATTGCTGTTGGCAGCCACCTCCAGCTGCTTGGGAGGACTGTCCATGGTAGTCAGGGCTTGTTGGGCTTCAGGTGTGTGGCTCACACAGGTGTGTCTGGGCTACAGCTCGACTGAGAGAGCTTAAAAGCTGGAACATGGCGGCAAAATTGTTGCTGTTTGTGCTTATTCTCAAGGACCAGGTTCCCCTTCATTTTGGTCAGTGTTTGTACCAGGCAGCTTTATTCACCTATGTTTTAAGTGTGCAGGCTTGAAATCTTACAGCTGAAAATAATTTAGGCTGAAAAGGAAATTTAGCTTAGGTTTGGTTCTTATTGCCAGTGGTTTCTCAAAACCCCACAGTTGTTCCTTGAAGCCTCTGAGAGTCAGACCTTTCACCTTCTACCAAAAACCATGCATTTGGATACCCAGCTGGAGAGCTGCTTTGTCTAGTGAAAAGAAACAGAAATTGGTTAAGTAAAATGCTTGACTCTTCTAAAACTCCAGCAGCACATTGCCTTAGGAAAGCCAGAGTTCCATGGACAGCAGGTCAGATCACTTCAGAGCTGATTGCCTAGGACAATATGGACCACAGGAATTGATAAGAAAAATTATCATGCTGGAGTTCAGCTGCATTTTCCCACTTTGAAGAGAAGGTGGAGGGGGGAAATTTATCATTTTTTAAATCACCTTTTCCCCTCCCTCCCTTCCTGAACAATCTGGTAACTGCTGCTTGTGAAAATGCATGGGGTGCTTTCCATCCATGGGGAGAGGCTGATGGCGTTGCTGTTGTTCTCCTCGTGGCAGCTTGCGGCCAGTTCTGTGAGAGGTGCTCTGCAGAGGCGGGCAGCTGTGCCAGCTGTGCCGCAGGGAAGCTGCTGCACCAGGGGCAGTGCCTCCCCCAGTGCCCACACGGACATTTCCCCAGCAGCGCTGCAAGGTGCACAGGTAAGAGGGGCATTCCTGCCCTGTCCTAAGCTCTCAGGGCACCCCCCTTGTGTTGCCTGCTCTTCCTCAGTCGTGGGGAAGGGATTTTGAGAGCACAGAAATGGGAGTGGGGACAGGGAATTTGACTGGTTTTGGTTGTTTTCTTTGGTTCGCTTGCGATGGATTGTCTCAAATAACCTCTCCTGCTTGCCAAACATGCTGAGGTACACATTCAAAACATGGTGTGAGCGAGAGTAATTACTGGTAGTGCTTATTAATACATGGGCACTTGTGCTCTCATTAGTTCACCTAGCTGAGTCTGACTCCAGCTGGGGGTTTTCTGCAGCTGGAGAAGGCTGTAGTCAGCACTCTGAAGGAGTGGGAATGGGATGTTTCAGCTCCGTGTGCTCTGTTTCTCTGTCAGCCTGTCACGCTTCATGCTCCACGTGCCAGGGACCTCTGGCCACTCACTGCACCTCCTGCTCCTTCCCTCTGGCCCTGCGCCAGGGCCAGTGCCTGGAAAGCTGTGGAGAGGGCTTTTACCAGGATCACAACATCTGCAAGGGTAAGCTCTGCACCTGGGGTAAGTTCCCCAGCTGCTGTAAACCAAGTTTTGTTTTTCCTGTATCCTGTGCTGAACCAGTCAATGCTTGATTCCTGCCTTTCCTGCTGATTGTTTTCTGCTTTGAAAAAAAGTGAATTTTCCCACATACTTTCTGATTTCACACCCCCAGGATTCAGTGATTTCTGGGACTTTTTTTTTTCCCCCTTCTCTGTGTACATTGCTCTGAAATAAATGTACATTGCTCCCAGGTTTTTTTCAACACGATTTAAGAGGTGGGTGAAATTCCACATATACCTGGTATGAAATTCCACGTATACCTAGTATGAAATTCCACATATTTGTGATATGAAATTCCACACGCATCTGGCAGATTTGCAAAGACTGAGGTCATCTTTGCAGTAGTGGGAAAAGCGAAAATTGGAAAGGTGAATTTCTGTTTGGTGTGAGCCCTTCACACGAAGGGCTTTTCTCCTGTCATTTCTTGCTGCCCCTCCTAATGAGACTGAGCTCACTGTTGCAGTTGCAGAAATTAAAGGAGAATTGGCAGTCTGTGGCCCAGGGCTGCAGTTTATTATTTGTTCCCCAGCTTTGCTCAGGAAAAGAGCTGCTCCCTGGAGGTGGGGGGGCGCAATGTCCGAGCGTTTTTCTCACATCCTGCCGTGCTGTAGAGAGCAGCAGCCTTGTCTGTCGGGTCTCTGGGCAGCTGCCNCCCTCTCTCTTGAGGCATCTGCTGTTGACATAGGTGTTAATGTTCACCCTTGAGTAAAGGAAGGAGTGAGTGAACAGAGAAACCAAGCCATGCAGGGTAGCGTTGATCGCTGCTTGGGGAAATATTTGTGACAATTCCTCAGTGGATCAGTTCTGTTTTGTGATTCTTTGACTTCAGTGCAGACTGCCTGTAAGTGCTCAGGATATGGTATTTTGATGTGTGTAGAAAATTGCCTGCAGGGGTGGGGGATTGATAGAACTCAGGAAATACTGTCTGGGGAAGTTTCCTGCTTGGTTTTGCTGTTCACTCAGTCCATACCATGTGCTCTTCCTGGAAGTGCACTGAGCTCGCTGCTCTCAGGAAGCATTCTTACAAGGTAAATTGGTAATTCTGTAAAACACTGAGCGCTGTCTAAATCATTTTTCTTAGCAGTTGGAAAGACTGAGAGTAAGCTTGGAAAGTTAGCTTTCTCTTTGATGGGACTATGACAGTACTTTTATGAGCTTCCCCGGCTCCTTTGAAATACTTTAAACTCTTCCCAAACTGTAAAGCAGCTGCTTTTTCATCATGGCAGTTTAATTGTTTTCTCTAAAATTAACACTTTTCTCATCTTGATGTTGGCCTTTTTAGAAGGCTTCTAATTATTCCTGCAGTTCTGATTCAGCAGAGGGGTGGAGCAAATGCTTAACTTCTGAGCCATCGCTTCAGTTTCCTTGGAGCTAACCCTCCTGCTCAGAATTAAATACAGGCTGAGGGCTTCTGGCCCATTTCAGGGCAAAGCACTTTAGAGGGTAAGTCCAGCTTCCTTTTCTGAAGTGGCTTCCCTTGAAGAGCTGACTACTTGTTTCAGGTTGTGAAGGTCTGAAAAACCTCTGTCCTCCAGCAGCCACTACAGCCCAGGGCACCATTGTGGGTGTATAAACAGACAAGAGAGACCCAGTCCAAAAGAATTTGTAGGCTTAAGTATCAAATAATCTTCTCCTTCATTTGGTTTTATTTTGTCATTTCCTTTCCACCTGCTGGTGGTGGTTTAATTGGCAGTGCCCGTGAACTGCTGAAGGGGTAGGGAAAGGCTAATGTTTCATTTTATTGCTGGTTTGTAGATTACTGATTGTACACTCCATCCAAATCTGCAGTCACGCATGCTTGTGGCTGAATGTTGCTGGGAAAATTTGTTCCTCTTTCCTCAAGGGAATTGAACCAATTTGCTTTAGTTCTGCATGGCTGCATTTTCTGCATAAAGTCAAACCAGTGGAGAAAGTCTTAAGTTTCAGATGCTGTCCGTAATTCATGGCCATTCACTCTTTTCCTTGTATCCTCTTTATTGCTGCAAATCTCTAATCAGATTGTCGAGACGGGCCTCAGACTGCTCCAAAAGATTTTCCTCATAATGGTTTTAACATCTACAATAAGCATGTTCCAAAAGCACAGAAAGGATGAACTAGACTGTGTTAATTGCTGTAGCTCCAGTAAACTCCCTCTTGAGGAATTTGCTCTGGACTTGAAAGAGACTTAACACCAGGTTTCTTGCTCTAGCCTCTTGTTGGAACACTGTTGACTGCATTGTAGAAAAACACAGTGAATTAGCCTTTCCTTTTGTTCATGTTTTATAACAGCTGGTTTAATTGAGTCTCTTTTGAATTTTTGATTACAGTTGTTTGATCTCTGCCCTATTTGAATCCTACACTGGGGTTGTTTCCTGCCCCCATCCCTCCACTTGCTTTTGTGAAGAATTAAAACCATTAAGAGAAAGTAGAGTTGAGAATAAAAGGTAATAAGTTCAGTTATGTAGCAGTGGATTTAAAGTTCATGGTTGAGTTTGTGTCAGGCAGAGAGAGCGGTGGGCTCTCCCTTGGCAGAAAC